TCACCGGAGGAAGGTTATTCCAGAGGCGAGGAGCCACCGCTGAGAAGGCCCGGTTTCGTGTCCTTTCCTTCCAGGCCTCCCTCAGCGTTAGGCTCCTCAGCCTCACCTCCTGGCTCGTGCGGGTGATCCGAGTAGATCTAGGAGGGAGCAGGCGTTCCGCCAAGTATTGGGGTCCTAAACCGTTTAGGGCCTTATATGTAAGCGTTAACACATCTTAAAAGAGCAGTACAACAATGGAGCCAATTACCTTGGCAGGTGGTGAGCGCTCCAGCGTCAGAGCCATTCAAGAGAAAATTGCACAACCATCTCTCAGATCTACTTTGATTTGTATTCCTGCATCGAGTAGGGGCTGGACTTGATGGCCTTATGGGTCCCTTCCAAACCCCATAACTCTGTGATTCTAAGATAATTAAGGAGGGGCCCTGTATATACAATCTTGTGTTTAAAGGAGGAAATGCACAATACTAATGCAACTATAAACTAATAATAAACGTTTTTTTAAACAGGTAGAACGTATACAGAGGAACAGACTTCACTTAATTTAAAGCTACATATCAATAAAATGCACAGAAGCCAATAGATTTTCCTAGAAGATACCTATCCACACACACACACACTCAGACTCTGGTCTTGTTTTGCTATTCCCTCCCCGTTTGTCCACAATGGCAGGAGTGGCAGAAGGCAAGCCGTGTTCTGGTGGTAGAACTCTGGGTGCTCTTCAAGACATTGCCAAAACTGCTGCATCCCAAACATTTAACACCACCAACAAGGTGGTGGTGTTAAAGGTGCCAAATTAAGTGGTTGAAATGATAAAAAGCTCAGTGGGATAGCTGGAGTGGATTTGTGTGTAAAAAGGAAAAGAAAAAGCCTTGTTGTGAAACCCAGAATAAGTTCTTGTTCTGAGTCAACGTGCTCAAGGACCTCACCTCTTCTATGCTACTCGGTGCATGCAGGAGTTATTCTGCCTTTTGGACTTGAAAACCACAATTTTTATTCCTGCATTTCATCTACTGAAATGCAGCAATAAAAACTGAGTCACCACTTCCCACAGTCTTTTTTACTGGACAGAGAAGCATCCCAGAGAACAGGACAGCCTTGCAACAAAAAGACTGACAGGGTAATAGCCAAATTAAATGCTCAGCTGCCAAACCTTGCCAAAATGACAGTTTATCCCACCACTGGCATTACCTTACACTCAACTCCAGCTGGTAGTTCTGACTTATGGCAACCCCTTTCCGGGTTTTCCAGGTAGAGTGTACTCAGAAGTGGTTTACCACTCCCTTTTTCTGTGGGTGCCCTGGGACTGTGCAGCTTGCCCAAGGCCACGCCGGCTGGCTCTACTCATAGAAGGCACAGTGGGGAATCTACAGTAACTCCCAACCTAAACCACTGAGCTATCCAGCCAACTCACCTGCTATATAAGTTATGCAATACTGCATATGGCCAGGTCCTCACTTGTTCTGCCCAGCTGCTCCAGATCTCTGCTTTTCTGTCTGCCTCCGAGACTTCCCTTTTGTCCTGAGTCCCTGCCAGATCCTCCTTGTGACTGTCTCTCCCCCTTTTCCTATCCCCCCCAACAAGTGTGTCCGGACAGTTGCCTACTCAAGAACTTTGAAGGGAAAAGCCCCTCATTCCTGGCACTTGCTCTTGTCTTCCCTTTTCTACTGTTTGGATAACTAGCTTCAGAAACAGACACACACACACACACACACCCGTCACTTGCAAAGAGAACAACAGAGCTGTCGAAAGGACTGTCGAAAGGAAGACTGTTCTTGTGGACTTTTGCACCAGAAAGCAACTGACTTTTCTGCTAGCCCTCAGCCATCCACCTCAAACAAGCCCAATCCTCTCTCATGCCCCACATCTCCTTTATTTGCTCCTCTCCTCTAAATATCCGTAAACGTCCACACCATGCATGGGCCATCAGTCTCCAAAATCCACATTGACTAGAGAGAATCAATCTCCTCCTCTTTCAGGATGTCCTCTTACAGCTCCTTCCACATCTGATCCTTGCCGGTACAACCCTCCTTGGAGATTAGAGGGTCTCTTCCCTTGCACAGATGCTGGGGTCTCCTACACAAGGGGTCTAACCCTGTACTCCTCCCACACTTGACTTTTCCTCTCAACAACAGAGACTCTTGACAGCTAATCCTCTTTTTTATTCTGCAACTGCTTCTTATCTAACAACCAGACAACCCTGCCCCTCCTCTTGTGCCCCTTCCCACTCTGTCTTCTAAAGCAGCACTCTCAAATTACTCCCAGCGGCCCTCAATCCCACCTTGGCTACCCTTTCCCCTCAAAGGGCAGCCTCAATCCTCTCCTCTTCATACCCTGTTTGCTGAGAATCCTCTGTTGCATCTACTCTTCTTATGCCTTTGTATATCTTTTTTTAAACCTTCTTTCACTGCTTTACTACCTTGGCATGAATTCCTTTCCACCGCTCTCCTTGGCATCTGCCATCAGAAAGATACATCACCAAAGCTGCCTCATTCACGCCTGCCGCCTGCTACGCTGAAGCCCTGGATGAATTCCACTCTTGCCGGCCCAAACCCATTGCCCTCCCTCTTTCCTTTTGCACTTCAGCTCCTTCACACCCATCCCTCAAAGACAACCCTCTTTTTACCAATACTGACTTGACCAGGGCTAGCTACCATCCTCTTCTGGTATTCACTTTGGCCTTTTCCCTTTCTATGCTTGAAAGGCTTCCCCCCCCCCCCAATACAGAACGTTCCCTTGTCTTTCTCTCCTTGCTCTCCTTTGCTGCCTCTGCCTCCCAAAGCACACACTCCTGAGTCCTCTCTGATGTTTCCATGACAAAAAGCTCCTAAAGTCAACCCTTCTCCTGAGGACCACTCCCAAGTGGGCTATGCATCACCCCTTTTCTCTAGCTATTAAATCATCCATCAAGCCCCTCTCCGAAGAAGGCGTCGCTTCTCTCCTCCTGCCTTGGCCCTTTCCTCCTTACCTGCACCCTCTCCTCAGAGTTACCACTTCCAAGAGTGTTATATTCCCAGACTTCCTATATACACTCTCATTTCACATCTTAAGGACCTCATTATCATCACACCAACGCACATCTTTCTCTAGAACACTCCCTCCCTTTGGCATCTTGCTACCAAGCTCTTTCCCCTTCTGACCCTTCCTCACACTCCTTATTGCACCACTCCGTTCCTTACAGCTTATGCAGCGCTGCTCTAAAATCTCATTTTCACCACCTGGAGGGAAGCACCAAAGCTACTGGTTAGATGTTTGTTTTTCCCTTGTACCACAGAGCAGCAAGCCAACAGCTTAGCTGGCTTTCTGAAAAACAGGACTGGTGATATATTCATCATGATGACTATGCCAGCCATGTTAACAGACCAAGACATTAAAAATGGAACCTCTCTGTAAAGAGACAATCCATCTCTGGAAAACAGATAAGAGGACACAGAAAGGCTCTCTCCACTGCAAGCAACTCCATTTGGAGACTTGCATTCAAGGGGGAGAAACACACCCTCGCGGCTGGTATTTCACTGCTCTGAATGCCCATACTGTGCCAAGAATGCTAAATGCAAGTAAACACTAGTTGCTGTTAACCAGGATAAATCAGTGCAATACCCATTTTTGAGGAGAAGCATATCTCTGAACCCCAGATATCTGGATAATACTCTCAGCATCAGAAGAAAATCATTGCCTACATGTTCTAACTGGAGGCTTCCTAAATGCCCCCCAGAAACCAAACACTGGGGCAGGTGGACCACTGGTCTTTCCCAACAACTGTGCTGTGGTGGTCTTTCTTATATCGCAGAACTAGTGTGACATTGCCACTGATGGTAGTGGTAGCCGGCCTCGTAGTCTCAGCCCCCTCGGACTTTCTGAGCAGCAGGAACTATGGCACCATCCCTCACCCCAACCTACAATCTACTCACTGCTAGCTATCTCTGCTGTAATATAAAGTACTGTATCTAAGTCTGGGTTCCAGTGGACAATTAAGAGCAGATTAGGCATCCTTCCGTCTGGGGAGACTATGGTATGGAAGACTTGGAACAGTGTCTAGTGTGGCTGAGGAGGCCAATTCAAGAGTGACCATCCCTTCCACACTGAAGACAAATACAATCTGTCCCCTGTCCAGCTCCCTGGTTTTGCAATTAAGAGCAATTGCCTTTCTAAAAGACCTGCTCCTCATTTGTTGCTATCCAGCAGTCTGCATTTTTTTCTGCTCTCCTTGGAGAAGCCAGCTAGCTACAGGAGCTATCACAATGACAACCCACACTTCAAGATTTACCTCTAAATTGCACCTAATGGGACTCAGGAGGCCTGGGTTTAAACCCTCCTTTCGTGAGGAGACTCGTAGGGGGGACCCACTCTCTCCTCCTGACTCAGCCCTGGATCGGAGCATTAAAAAGCTACGTGAAATCTGCTGCTTTCAGGTCAGCAGCAGAAAACAAGTGTAATAAACTGATCCATCAGGAACATAAGCTTTTAAAAAAAACACCCATTAGGCAAAGTAAACCCACAGGAAGCGAGTCTCCTAACATCCGTGTCTGAAAGCTGGCAGCCCACCTGAGGAACACGAGCCTCCCCCCTCCCCCGCCAGGACCGACCCTCCTTCGAATGAAGACCCATCACGGCCTCGGGGCCGTTGGGCAGAACCTGAGGGGGGAGGAAAAAGCTCTCCACCACTTCCGAAGGCAACCCCCCCCCGTCGAGCTGCCAGAGGCAGCCGCAGTCTACCTCTGAGGGACCTGGCGAGCCTCAGAGAGGCCCAGAAGGAGGCGGGCTGGGCTGTGTTTGTGAGGGGCTTCCCCAAAGGGCCGAGGAACGAGAGAAAAAATAAAATAGAAACCACGACCCCTTGGACACGGCCGTCTCCCAGCCAAGGGGGGATTCAGACGTGCAGATGCGTGTCGAAGGACGGGAGCGGCCCGAAGGAGGGAGGGTGTCGTGTGAAGCCCACCAGCCCAACCCGACCCTTCTTTCTCCTTCCCTCCCACCCGCCTTCCCTCGCCTCGGCCGCTAACCTGCTCCTCCTCACGGACCGCGCTGCTCCCGCCGGGGCCCGGCTGCTCACCCCCCCCTCGCCGGCGCCGCTCGGGACGGGTCCGGGTCAAGGTAACGGGCTGGGCAGTCGGGCGGTCAGTCAGTCGGTCGAGCGGCCGGTGCGGTCACCTCAGGCGCGGACGGGGGAGGGGGGGAAAAAAAGGAGCGCTCCGGACTCCTCCGGCCAGGCGGCGGCTGAAGCGGCGACGGACTCTCCTCTCACCCGAGCCGAGAGCCAGCGGGCGGGCGCTTTTATAGCCTCGGCTCCTCGGAAACCGTCTCCGCGCAACGCTTCCGCTTCCGCCCCTCCCTCGCGCCCGCCCCC